AGATATCTAACCCCAGCTACAGGGCAAAATTCGGCTTCAGTGGGGGTAGGAGGGAAGAATATTGAAAAATACCCACACCCAGACCCAGACCATACAACATACAACAGCTATATATGTAAATAAAAATACTTATCCAGTGAAATGCCAGCTCAAGTTTTTTGCCCTTTATTTTCCTATTGATTTTCTTACTAATTTGAAGAAATTCTTTATATATTTTATATATTAATTCTTTGTTGGTGGGTTGGGCTTTTTTTTCTTTTTGCTTTGCTTTGTTTTGTTGTTGCTGTTGCTGTTGTTGTTGTTGCACTGAAAATATCATCTCCAAGTTTGGTTCAATTTTTACTTTAGTTATGATATTTTCAATAATACACAAATTTTTATTTCTCCCCTAAGACTGGAGCTGGAACATAACAATAGAAATCCTACAACACAAGCCTCATGCAGAGTAACAAATACAATCAATCAGCTGGCAGGAGAGAGGCCAGAATCTGGAGAGATCTCACACACACAGGCACACACGCGTGCACCGTTTGACACAGGGAATCAGAAAGCTCTGCAGTGACACAGCTACACCCTGAACATAATGCAGAAGCAGCACCGTGGGAAATCTGAAGCACATGAGTAGATGGATGTAACCAAAGGAACAGCAAAACCCAAATCCAGATCTGCTCTTGGCTACACCAACCAACTCCCTTCACTAGTGGCTTAACAGAAGAACAATCATGCTCATTTCCAAGTAATCAAACTATTTACTTTAGTTTCTTCTACACACAATACTCTGAACCCATCAAGACACAACCAAGTGAAACAACCATTATTAACAACTGTATCAACCAACTCAGAGATGACCGCCATGTTGGAACTGTGCAGACTTTATAACAGTTATATTAATGTGCTTAAAGTGGCAGTGGAAAAGTTGAGAAATATGCATGAACAGACAGAGAAGTTAAGTACAGAGGTGAAAATGGTAAAAGAACGTCAAAAGGAAATGTTAGAAATAAAAGAAAAATAGTATGATTGATTCCCTTAGTGAATTCATCCAAATCCTAGACTCAGCTGAAGAAAAACGAGCAAACTTGAAGATCCATTAATAGAAATTACCCAAACAGAAGCCAAAAGATATAAGGAGTAGGAACAAAAAGAACAGAGACTCCAAAGCTATGTGACAATAGAAGATGGTCTAACACATGTATGATTGTGTACTAGAAGGAGAAGAGATAGGTAAGGGGGAAAATAACAGTGCAAGAAACCTCTGAGGATGTTCTAAAAGTAATACATCAAATAACAGATCTAAGGATAACAGAGAAACACAAGCAGGGAAAAAATAGCAGTACATACACACACACACATGCACACATACAACTTAGACATACCTACAGACACATCATAGTTGAACTGCTTAAAGCCAATTATAAAAATCTTGACAGCCAAAAGAAGAAGATACTGAAGATACAAAGGTACAAAAATAAGAATTATAGCACATACCTCATCAGAAACTATACAATCCAAAAGACAATGACATGACAAAGCAGTGAGGGTGGAATATAAGAATTCGATAACCATCAAAAAATATCTTTAAAATTGAAGGCCAAATTGTTTTACAGACAAAAAAAAATTGAGAAAATTTCTTTCCAGAAGACATATTGGAAGAAACATTAAAAGAAATTCTTCAGGCAAAAATAATATGATAACAGACAAAGAAATTAAGAGCTCAAAAAAAAGTAAAAATAAAAATATATACAAAACTTTCCTCATTTTAATTGCTCTGAAAGATGACTATCTAAAGCAAAAATAGAAACAATGTATTATGGATTTTATACCGCATATAAAATTAAATGTATGCAAACAGTAGCACAATGATATGGAGGAACTAAAAGTATACTGTTGTAACGCTCTAATACCATATTTGAAGTTGTAGAATATCACCTGCAGGTAGACTGCGATAAATCAAAAGTACCTATTATAAAGCCTAGAAAATCACTTTAATTTTTAAGGCCAATAGCAGAGATAGAAAATAATCTAAAAGTAGGCAAAAACAGAGGAAATGAGAACAAAGAACACATAGAAAAACAATTAGAAAGAAGGTAGATGGTAAGCCAGCCCTGTCATTAATAAATGTTAATGGTTTAAACTCTTCAAATAAAAGGTAGGGATGTCAGACTGGATTTTTTAAAAGTAACACCCAAATATATACTGTCTATATGAAATTCACTTTAAATATAGACATAAATAAGTCAGAAGAAAACATGTAGGAAGAAAATACCATTAAAATATTAATGAAGGCAGGTGTGGTGGTGCATGCCTGTGATCCCAGTACTCAGGAGGCTGAGGCAATAGTACTCCCATGAGTTCAAGGCCATCCTGGGCTATATAATAGTTCAAGGCCAGCCTGCACTGCAAAGCAAGACTCTGTCTCAATAAAAAAAAAACTTTAATGAAAACTAAGATGGAATAGCTATCTTTAAAAAAATTATTAGACTTCAGAGCAAGGAATATTATCAGAGATAAAGGGGGACATTACAAAAGGCCAAAGTGACCAATTGACCAAGAGTACGTAAGAGTCCTAAATGTGATAAAAACAGAGTTTCAAAATACATGAAGAAATCTGATGGAACTGGATAAGGAGAGATGGAAAAACAATTTCAGTTGGAAAATACATAACTCTTCTCTCAGTGGTTAATAGGACAAGTATTCAGAAAATGAGCGATGATGTGGAAAACTTGAGCAATCCTGTCAAAGGACTCGATGCAGAGGACACACAATGACAGAGGGTGAATTCTTTCCAAGTCACCACTGACCACACTTCAGACCACAAAACATCCTCCACAAATGTAAAAGGACTGAAATATTTGGCGTATGTTCTCTGACCACAACAGAAATAACCTCAAATCAATAACTCTGGAGTCCTTTCCAGGACCTGGGATGAAGAAAGGTTTAATAACAAAAAGCAGAAGGGAATTTCCGGGGTGATGAGGCTGTTCTATATCTTCATTATGAGCCTGATTTCATGGCTGTATGCATTTCCCATGGTTCATAGAACTGTACCTTAAAAGAGTACTGCCGCTGTATATAAATTATACCTAAATATTGTAGGCCCAACTAAAACTTTTAAATAAAAAAATTGAAAGATAATCTTTTGATAATATTAAATGAAATGGGATTAATATTAAAATGCTTTGTATGAAGCCAAAGTTCTTAAAATGAATAGAAAAAAACAAAAAAAAATACTTTCAAATATCAAAATATAGGCTGTTTGATTTTTTTTTTTTTTTTTTTGGGGGGGCACTGGGGATTGAACTTGGGGCCTTTACTACATCCCCAATCACTTTCATTTTTCATTTTGAGACAGGATTTCACTAACTTGTCCAGGCTGGGCTCCAACTTGCAGTCTTCCCACAGTGTGTTTATTTGCTTTCTGATCCTTCATATTATTCTGCATATTAGGAATTCTCAAAGACAACAAAAAAATCCTTTCTATGGAAATTATATCAGATGATATGAGGGGAGGCCTGTAATTTTTTGTGGTGTACGGTTGTCAACCCCAGGGGCCAACACTCAGAGAGCAGGCACCCGACATAATTCATTGAAGTCTGTGCCAGGAGGGCTTTGGAAAACCCTGCCTTGCAGAACATTTGTAACAATAGTTTTTCATCTGGAAAACATGAGCCAGATAAGGCATCGCTGGGAAAACATTGTACAGTACCAGTATCCAGGCCTTCGTAGCAATGGGTAGCAAATGTGCCCACTGATGGAAGGACACCAAAGCTCGGGCTATTCTGGAACATCTACACATTTTATGCTCTAAGGACCATGGAGCCTAGGCACTTGTAATATTTTTTTAAGAGAAAAACCAACTTCCTCAAAGCCAAGTTGTGAAAAATTACATTTGTGTGATAAAAGTGTCAATATTTGGGGGGCTAAAAAATCATAGACAAACAATAATTATGGTAAAAAGAACAATGGTTGCCAGGGTTTGGAAGGTGGTAGGAATAATAAAATGAAGCAAAGGGGTACTTTTTAGGGCTAGGTACTATTCTGTACAATACTGCAATTATGGATACGTGAGAATATGCATTTGTCAAAACCCACAGAAGTTAATAACGCAATGAATGAAGCTTACTATGCAAACTTAGAAAAAAATACGGTCAGAGAATACCGAGAAAGAATGGATAATGTAACAAAACAATCTGACTATCAGAAATGTGTCAAAGAGCCTCACTGAAGGGGAGAGAGGAAACAGATTCTGACCTAAGTAACTTTGGAGGTGAGTGATGTTTCTGTGACTAAAGGCAAAAGGGAGTGTATGTAAGCATTGTACTCCAGTTGATAACACTTTTCCCTATGGAAGTACAGACAGGTTAGTAACTCTGACGCTGGTCTACATGATGTGATCACAAAATACGGTGAATATCTAAAGTTTAAAAATTTGTTACAGTAAAAGACACATTGTCATGAATCTTCCTCAAAGTCCTCCCCCTCACTTTGAACCCACTTATGCCATCATTCTTGCCACTTTGTGAAGCAGCTCTGGAGTCCTCTTTCCTGAATGCCTTTAGTTTCCCTGTCCTGACTGCCTCCATGTCCTGATTGATTCAAAATGATTCCCTTTCATGATCACGTTCTGACTTTGAGGAAGGACCAGAACTCATATGGTGCCAGATCCAGTGAATGAGGGGAACAAGGACACACTCTAATGTTGGTATGAGCCTGCCTTTCCACTGGATGGCACTCAGCAGCAGCATTCACTGTATTTTTTCAGCACATCTCAAAGACACTCCAAAGAGTACTGGTTACCAGTGCTTGAGCCCCAAAGCCCACTGTTTAGTTTCAGACTTCAGAGTTACTTAGGGACCCTGAGATAAGTTATATTCTTCCACAATCCCCCTGCCCCAGCCTTAGCTGCTGCACTGTAACATGCAAATAATCACTGTGCTGAACTCACAGAGCTGCAGTGGAGATGAAGGGAAGGGATATATATGATGTACAGTCTGGTGAATTACCTGCACACTTCCAGGAAACACCGGCTGGACCATCATGGGAGGTGAAAGCTGCTGCCATTGTCACTTTGAGGATCAACATTGGCTTGGCTGTCCTTTCTGTGCACACACAAGTGCTTTCATAGGATGTGATCCAAAGTACAGTGACTGCTGCTGCCCATGACCATCCAGTGGAGCTGCAGGTTCTACAAACATTGCAGTCTGTCCTCATTCATTTCAGAGGAATGCCTGCAAATAGAGTGTGATATTTTCATAATAAATGCAAAAATATGTGGTAAAACATGACTTAGAGATGAGAGAGAAGACTAGGTACAGAAATGGCAGTTATTTCATTTTCTATCATATATTTCTAAAAGTATAGAATTGAGAAAATTCAAAAAAACTTCTAAACAAATATAGATATCTATTTCAACAATAGAAAAAAGCTGGAAAGCAAGCAAGATATTTAAAAGACAAAAGATGAGAAAACAAGTGAGAAATTCTAAAGAACCTAAATTTTATGCATTTTATAATAATGTTGAGAAATAATTTTTTATATTAAATAACTTTATTATCAAACACATACAAAAAATTTAAACCACTCAAAGAAGAACAATGCAAGGGGAAAAAAACTACAATAATATTCAAATACAGTAGAACTCAACCAAAACAAAACTGACAAGCACTTAAACATTTTTCCATATAACTTAAAAAAGCATCTCAAGCACCAACAAGACACCAGAGGATGTGATTTGTTTCAGAAAGATCCCCCAAACCAACATTGAACAAATAATGATCTGGAAAAAAAACTTCAGTTAGCTAGCAGACTCCACATAAGCCAAACTTCTCCCTAATTTAAATTTCGATACAGTCATATCACACGTGTTGGAAACACAATCCGAGAAATATGTTATTAGGCCATTTCACCCGTGTATATCCTTAATTACATTTTCAGTTTCTCACACTAGAGAAACTATTTGGTGTTTACACATGTGTGTCCTATTTATTTCACTTAAGAGGATGGCCTCAATATGGATCTGTTTAGCTATAAATGTCTGTAGTTTCTCGTTCTTTATGGCTGAGTAGTACTCCATTTTATAAAAAAAAAAAAAAAACCCACATCTTCTTTATCCAGTCTCCAATTGATGGGCACTTGGGTTGTTTCCAAGCTTTAGCTATTAAAAACTGCGTTGCTATGAACATGGG